CGAGGTCTCAAGACGCGCGTCGCTGGGACTGCAATTTCCAGCACGTGACCGTACATCATTCCTGCCTGGAGTCTGCCCTGGGCAATATCTGCTCGCCACATGGCGTGCAGCCCTGAACGCGTACCGTTGTCTGGAGGGGCGCAAAAGTTGACGCGCATAGATTCCCAGCAGCTTCTTCCACGCTCACGCCTGCCAGTTTAATCAGTTGACAACAGCCTCGCCCTTGACTCACACTATCGTCAAAAGCTAGAGCGCTGCTGCAACGCTCACGCAACTTCAATCGACACCACAACCAGACAGCGAAATCGCGCACTACTTCTGCCCATCATGTCGAGCAGATTCTTCCGCGCCGCGTCCGACTCTGAGTCCGAGTCTGAATCCGAGGAGGAGCTCATGTCCGACTCTGGGGACGAATCGCAAGACGCGGGAGCCAGAAAGGGCAAAGCCGCCCAGTCCGACTCTGATGAGAGCGACGAAGACGAAGATGAGAATGAGGACGACGACGAGGCCGATGACAACAAGGCCGCGGGTGTGGCCAACAAGGCATCAAGATTCTTAAAGGGAGCTGATAGCGAGAGCGACTCTGAGGACGAGGTCAGAAAGGTCATCAAGAGCGCGAAGGATAAGCGCGCGGACGAGATAGAAGGAATGACAAAGAAAATTGACGAAGCGCAGCGCATCAACGATTGGATCGCGACGTCAAAAGGTGAGCAACAAAAGGTCGCGTGTATGCGAGAATCCCATCGCGATTCCACACTAACGTTGGCCCCATCGCTGCGTACGTCCTTACAGAGTACGAGAGTCTCCTACGAGCTGTCGATAGGCTGCGCAACGTCAACGAAACCATTCCGCCTGCTTTTATCAAGTGCATTGCCGGTCTGGAAAAGGCCATCGTGGATGCGGTCGCTAAAGAAAAGACGGCGACCAAGAAGATGAAGGCGCCAAACGCCAAGGCCATGAACGGCATGAAGCAAAAGGTCAAGAAGGCGGTTGTGGAGCACTCGGATGCTGTGCAAAAGTACAACGAGGTGCGTGAGGTTTTAAACTTGGAAAGCCGGTCGGAGCGCTCACGAGGATTTCTTGTCGCCGTAGGATCCCGAAGCTTTCCTGACCGAGGCAGCTGCTGCCAGCGCTGCTTCCATCCCCGCTCCGGCCCCGAAGAAG